CCCCGCGGCGGCGGCGCGAGCGGGCGGCGGCTGTGCGGTGCGGTGCAGAGCGGAGGCGGAGGCGGGCGCGCGGGCAGCTCGCGGGCACCCGGCCGGGCCGGCGCGGGAGCGGGAAAGGGTGCGCTATGCCTTTAACGCCCGCGTACAGTAGACATGTATAGTGGAGTGTAGGGAAACTCTAGGCGGGGTTAAAGTTCAGCTCATGGAGCGGCAATAGCGCTGGCTGGCTGCAGTTGAGCCGAGTTGGAAATGTGAACGCAAGAAGCAGGCTTGATTTTTTTTTTCTCCCCCCTTCTCTCTCTCTCTCTCTCTTCCTCTCTCCTTCTTTCTCCTCTCTCACCCACACTCACGCACACCTCCAAACCGCACACCCAGACGCACACGCACACCCCACCGCCCGGCAGTTATGTATTCTCCGCTCTGTCTCACCCAGGTAAGCAGCTGTTTGGATGCGGAGGGGTGGGGGGGGCCAGGGTGGCGGGGGCAGGTCTGGGGCTGGGCAGGGGGCACCGGGGACCGTCGCGCCGGCTGGGCCCGGGGCATGTGTCTCGGTGTGTGCCCGTGCCTGCGCGTGTTTCTGTGTGTGTGCGCGCGTGTGCCCGTAAAGGGGGGGGAGAAATACAGCTTTAAGAAAGTAACTTTGTTTCCATGCGGGTGCATTCCTCTTGCACGGCCATTTGTGTGGGCACATGGCTAATGGCGCCCTCTTATTAATGCGTTAATTAATATCGGGGCGACGGACTGCGGAACGGCGGTGTTTTCGGACGCCCCGCACGTGTTTCGGCGGGGTTGCAGCCCATGACATGCTGAAATCTGGACTCAGCGTTTCTGCTGCCGAGAGCAGCGTTCCTGTAGTTCCGCGACGCCCGGGGAGGGGGCCGCCGACGGAGCCCACCGCGCACCCCGCACGCTCGGGCCAGCTGCAGCCCCGTGTGCGGGGAGCCCTCGGGTGCCTGCGCCCACGGCCCGCTCCCCGGAGCCCGCGCCGCCGCAGCCCCTCGCCACCTCCGCAAACTCTTACTTTTGCTTATTGTTAGTCAAGCCTTCGGGGTCCGGCCGCGGGAGGGACGCGGGCCACCGTCCCAGCCCCAGCCCGGACAGCGCCCCTTGGACGCAGGCGGGCGGCGGCTAGCCCTCGGCGGAGCGGGGCTGCGTGGACGCGCGTCCCCCTGCGCCGGCCGGGTGGAGCCTGCGTCCTCACCGCTCGCCGGTGGCCCGCTCGCTTTCCCCGAGTGAAAGTTTCAGGGCCGGGACGAGCCCCCGCCGCGCAGGGCGGCGAGCCGCGGAGGCCGCGGGCCGCGGGCCGGGGAGCGCCGGGCGGAGTTGGGCTCCCGGCCGCGAGCCCGAGCGGCGGCCCAGGCCGGACGCGGCTCCCCCCGCCACCGCCACCGCCACCGCCACCGCGCGACTCCGGCCGCTCCGCGTGCAGGACAAGGGCAACTTTTCCCCTCAGACACAACTCGGAACGTGGGGCTCTCGCGCCCCACTGCCCCTCCTTTCTGTGCCTTCCCGGCCCATCCCTCCCTTGTCTGCACCACCCCCCAGGGAAAGTATTGCTACTTCGCCACCCAAATCTGGACCCTTTTGAATATATTACTTATTTTCTTTGACTAAAACGCATCAAGTCAAAGTGATTTTGCGCTAAGAATTTTTTTTTTTTTTTTTTTTCTTACAAAAAGTGTGCGCCTTCATTCTCCTTTGGTACATTGCGATCTGACCATTAATCACCTACATGAAGATATATGCTTCAAATAAAGTGTTTATTCACCACTCCCTTAAAAAAAAGCCTACCACTTCTTGCCTTCATTTAGCAGAAGATAACGGTTTAACCGGAACACTTTCTGGAAGGCTAAAAAGTATCAGTAGTTTTCTCTCTCCTGTCTAGAGTCTGGATTTATTTCCCACATGACATCCCTTCTTATTGCAATATCTAACAGTAATAATACCGGCTATTTGATCTCAGAAGACTCTTAAATGCATCTTTTATGTTGAAATGGTCTGTTTGGGATTTAGGCCTAACATTAATAATGGATAGCAGTTGCTTTTAGTTATTGTAAAAGTTTTTTTTTTTTTTTCTAACAAACTTCCTAAGTTCCTATTTTAGTAACTTGTGGAAGTATGGAATGAAACTTTTCCAACCACTTCTGGCAAGATTCACAATTGCATATGGATAAGATGCAAAGTGTAAGATAATTTGAATGAATTACGGAATACAGTGAAAATGCTGAGATTCAGAGGGTGAAGTTCTAGCTGGCAGAAGTTTGCAACACATAGAACTTGTAGATCATACCAGTGTGCTGCAACAGAGGGAAAGGACCCTAACAGATACATTGGTGTCTTCTCAAGCGAGCTCTGAAAAGATAAATTTGTATTTTGGGATTGTACATAAATGAGGATACCTGCATATCCATGTAGGCCCAGGGCATAGTCAGGTATTTAACAAAGTTGGCTTCTCTTGATTTAAAAACTATTATTATATTAAGAAAGTTATTTTTTTTCTTTTTTTTTTTCCTCCTACATATTTGGCAGTGTTGATTGATGCATTCACTAGGACTTCTTCTGGAAACACCACTAAGAGAAACGCTTATTTAGTGTAACAGTTTGTGAAGAAAATGTACAATAAATAGTGAATGAGGGCTCATATATTTTATGGGTTCTTCTTTTAAAAATTGATTTACAATTTATTTAACTTGCTGAAATATTTATAATGCTTTAGAGCCAGTTTTAAAAAGAAAAACTTAGGTAGTTTATTGCTCATTTAAAAAAAAGATCTAGGAATAACAGTGATAAAAGTACTCTAAATGAAAGAATAAACTCCATTTAACTTGTATGCAATTTTTTAAAACTTTACCAAGAAAATGCTAGACATCTTATTTTAATCCAGGATAGGCATATCAACCAAATCATGTACTGGCTGTATGATGATATCCCAGCAGAAATTTATAGGTGAACCTTTAAAAGAGATAATTTCTAGAAATATCAGCATTCAGTGGTTCTTAAACTTGGCTTACTTTCAAACAGATCAATGTTTTAAGATGCTGATACAAAGTAATACCACTTTGTAAACAGGTTTGTTTTTATTGGTGGCCTATAACTTTCTCACTGAGCACATATGTGAAATATTCTTTGTTTTCTCTTGAATATTCTGAAATATTACATAGCTTATGGTGACACGTTCAGCAACATGATTTATAAGGCTTACTATCTTTTTTTTTTTTTTTTTTAACTCATCAGTTATGCTATTCCTGGTCATTTCCTATAAGCTAATCATATTCTTTAGTTCTGATATTCTGGAATATTTTTAATCATGAATTGAGAAAAATATATTAGAAAAAATTAACTAACACTTTAATTGTACATGTGAGTAAAGTTATACAAAATATTGTGTACTTTTATTGGCACATTCTTGAAACCTTTGGGGAGTAACACATTGTAAATACTTTTGATGCAAAATTGGGGACTTAGATTATTCTTGTTGACTAGTTGACATAGTTGGTTTTGCTTAAGGATTTTTATGATGAGATATATGGGCATTTGGTTGGCAGGTAGACAAAATCATTTTGAACACGAATGAATGCAGTTTGAAGTTTTTTAAGAAACATATTGGGAGTATCTTTGAACACGTAAAATGCCATATTAGAATGTTTATTTTATATGTTTATTATCATTAGTCAAGCTTTTAAATAAGATAACATTTAAACATAGATGTGAATTGTTTGGAGCTAAGTTATCCTTTATATTATAAAATGGGACTGATACTTTAAAATGAAATCTTCCTTTTGGTGAAAGCTCACTTTGTAGTTTAAGGTAGACTCCAAGAGGTCTTTGCATAATACCACAAAGCCTTGGTCCCCAGCATGTGCTGTATATATAAGAAAATCAGTCCATGTGAAGTTGTGTTTCAAACCTAAAATTTATATATTTTAGAACATTTCAAGGATGAGCTCAGAATTTAGTAATGTTTAAATGCTTTGTGGTTTGGCATATACCTTCGCAGATTAACTGCGACTTGCCTGCCATTTCTTTCTTCTAAAGTATGGGAATAAGAAATATTCTCAAACATCAGAAATTTGAAAAAATTCTAATGGTTTATGGTAAGGAATAATATAATTCTTGTATTTTTCTCTATTCTCCCTCCACTTAAAGAATGCACACGTTATGAAAGCTGACTACTTCTCTTTTGGGTTTTTTTATTGAAAAAGGGCAGTTTTCAAAGCTAAACTTGAAACACAGAGCCTGAAATTCGTGCAGAGAGGAAAAAGGTCAATTATGGAAGTGATTTATTATGTATTATATTATGATACATTTACTTTTAAAAACAGTCATACGTACTATTTAAATGATTGACTATAATTTGTAAAATTTTAATGGACTTGACTACTAAAATATTTTACCAATTTTACCTTCTCAGTTTATATTTGAACATTAAAAAATTTAATAATTGCTTTAATAGTAATAATATTTTGGACATTACAGTTACTTGTGCCTTGAAGCGATATATTTAAGATGGATATAACACACCAAAACAGAATGCATTTTATAATATTTGTCTACCCCACAGCCTTTAACAAAAAGTCATCAAATATCTCTTTGGTTTTCGCATCCTTATTTACTCGAAAGTAAATAATCTATCTTTTGGAGGGGGAGTTGTGTGGCAGAAGTTATGTAACATTAGTGTGGATTAGTTAATCAAAAGTTGAATGTACTCTGAAAGCCTTGTAGAGGTTACTGTTTAATTTATTTTTTATTTTTGTATTTATATTTCCTAAGAAAATGTCACATATAAGAATCAAATATTTTGAATAAAATAAGAAAAATTTAAATATTTTGAATTCAATTTTATTTTCATGTTACCTGAATTTTAATAGGCAATCATGAGGATTTTCCTGATATCTCATAAACATTGAATATACCGGGTTCTCTGTTTCCCTGTGTGAAAAAAACCTGAAATATCATTTTTAAAAAGTTAAATAATCTGTTTTTAGGGATGATTATTACTGAAGGCATTTCACAATCATATCAGTAAATTAAATGTATTCAGTTGTAACAGTATTGTCACAGTGACGCATTCTATTTACTATCTGGCCTGTATGCTTTTCTTTGTTTTTTTCCTTTTTTTGCCTTTTTGTTTCATTACTGTAGTATCAACAATTATGTCTTGGACATAGGTCTTTTTTTTTTAGCCTAATATCAAATTCATCCCTTCTTTTGTATATAGATCTGCCAAATATTTCTAAGTTTCTGACTAAAAAAATTACATGTAATTTTAATATTTAAAGGAAGAATAAAGATATTACCAAAATGAATAAGAAACACATCAGAGTCTGCATGTAATATTTTTAGAGGGAAAGCCTTTGTTTTCACTGATTGTGGAGATGATTTTTGCTCCTAGACTTCCATAAACATCGACTGGCATCTAAATGTTTAGGATTTGCCAATCTGGCGGCCGGGCCCTGGCTGTACGACAAATGGTGAGGTCAAGGCTGGGACAAAATTAGATATGCCTTCCTTGAAATAGGGTTAAGATTATATATTGTTATAAGCATTTAGATAAACTTCACTTACTATCTAAAGGATTAAGGAACTAGGCCTGACAATAGAAGCTGGTGCACTTTGATGAACACATCAAAACATTTTTTAAATTTTTAGCAATTTTTTTTCTTTCAGATCATGAGAAATGATGCCTATAGTTTTCTCTCCCACTGTCCCCCCCACCACTTCCTGTGGGGTTCCTGTGCATGATTTCAGTAACGTAATGCTTGAATCAAATTTCCAGTGAAATGAGACATTTTTTTTTAAGGTAACCACCTAAAGAAAAGTCGCTTCCTTTTGTTTCCATTATATTCATGTTTTATTTTTTATTCATTTCCCTAGGATGAATTTCATCCTTTCATCGAAGCACTTCTGCCCCACGTCCGAGCCTTCGCCTACACATGGTTCAACCTGCAGGCCCGAAAACGAAAATACTTCAAAAAACATGAAAAGCGTATGTCAAAAGAAGAAGAGAGAGCCGTGAAGGATGAATTGCTAAGTGAAAAACCGGAGGTCAAGCAGAAGTGGGCATCTCGACTTCTGGCAAAGTTACGGAAAGATATCCGACCTGAGTATCGAGAGGATTTTGTTCTTACAGTTACAGGGAAAAAACCTCCATGTTGTGTTCTTTCCAACCCAGACCAGAAAGGCAAGATGCGAAGAATTGACTGCCTCCGCCAGGCAGATAAAGTCTGGAGGTTGGACCTTGTTATGGTGATTTTGTTTAAAGGTATTCCGCTGGAAAGTACTGATGGCGAGCGCCTTGTAAAGTCCCCACAATGCTCTAATCCAGGGCTCTGTGTCCAACCCCATCACATAGGGGTTTCTGTTAAGGAACTCGATTTATATTTGGCATACTTTGTGCATGCAGCAGGTAAGTGCGATGGTGAGAATTCCTTCCACTTTCTCGTGTGCTTTTCCTTCCCGATGGCCTCCGTCTATGCTGGATCATTCCTAAACTCCCCAAGTTGCAGGCCGTGTACAGAAAAGCCAGTGTGGTTTCAAAGATAAACCCAAGTGAGAATAGCCTGAAGCCCCTGTGTATGAGGTGCCACCTTCATTCAGGTGGAAAAGCATAGCTTTGAGAGAATTCTCAGGAAGTATAGTTCTTTTGGTAAGTAGTGTTTTCAGAGGCGTTGATAATCAGATATGTGATATGTTTAAATCACATTTTTTGATGAGGGCTGAGAGAAGCCTCATGAAAACCTTTGTAATAAAGAGTGTATTTTAACTGGCAAGTGATTTGGTTAAAAAGCATTTAGTTTGGTATTGAGGCAATATTTTTAGTTGCTTTTCTGCTGGGGGTGTTTTTAACCTACTGGGGCCTCTTGAACTCCTTGCCAATTAAGAAGTTGGAGGTAAGATTACTATCAAATGCTGATCATTTATGAAGAAAATAATCACATTAATATACAGATTTAGTAGCTTTGTATTTAGGAACTCTTAGTGTTATCTCAGATAGATAAGGGAAACCAACCAATTCTTTAAGTAATTGACGGAGAGGTTAATATTAAAAGTAACCAACCTGTATAGTGCATGAACACATTGAGAAATCGCTATTGATAATTGATTTAGTGAGTTGCTTTGATTTATTATAAAATTTTTAATTGTTTCTTCAAGGTGTGTTTTATCTGTACATGGTTCAGTATTTAGAATAGCATTCAGGATGAAATTATTGAGAACTGGATAAAATAATGCACTTTTACTTTGTTCCTTTCGTCTTGCTTTAGACAAAAGGCTTATTGTGTTATGTGAAAGCTCAGGTCTTGTGTAACTTGTTGACTTTTTATATGTACATATCGGTCTTGCTAGATTACCTTCATGGCAGTTACTTGAACCAGATGGAAGAAAGAAGGTTGTGGAATCCTACTAGTAGGTTGTTTTGGGGTTTATATATTTACGTATTTGTTCCACAAAGGAGAGAGACGTTACTTGTCAAATCAACACTGCACTGTTTTTCAGAACATTTTTAGAATTAATTTAAAGAAGTCAGCTGGTAGCCTATTTTATATTGTTTTTCTCAATATATGTTTCAGAAAGAGAACTTTTGTTATTTATCTGCCCTTACATAAGAAACTGGAGAAATTAACTTTGCAAGCATGTCACATCATCATTTGCATTCTGTTGGCAGATGAGTATTTTAGAGGATGTAATCTGTAAGTGTTTCAGATATTTGGGTTTTTGAAAATGTATACTTCATTATAATAATTGCCTGTTGCTTTAGCTTTGGCTGGCAAAAATGAAAAGGCAGCACCTGTCAAATGACCTCTAAACAGGAACAAATAGCCCTTCCTTAACCTACTTTTAACCCTATTGTTAATTTGTTTTGTCTATTGAAAAAGCAAAGTTAAAAAATTTCTTAATCTGTTTGCATATGTAAGTTCCGCAAGGTGCAAAAAAAAAAGTATGGGTGTTACAAGTGTTTTTAAGGAACACTCTTTGCAATCTTGTGTTTCTCTTTTACATATTTAAAAAAATATAATTGATAAATTATAACGAATAATTTATCAACATAGAAACTTGAGGGTGCCAACAGATAATGCAGATCATGACGTGTGCTTCCTTACCAGATAACATCAAAATGAAATAGCTGTGAAGTTTTTATCAGCGTAAGCAATATATCCATTCCAAGTTTTTAACTTAAACATTTCCCTTAGATTTAAAGAAATGCGACCTTTTTAGCTATTCCCATTACATGTATTTTCTTTCGTTGTTGTTGGTTTGTTATTATGCTGTTGCTCCAAATCCTTGAGCTAACACAGTTGTCGTTTGTTGCAATACCTGAAGGGTTTATGTTGGTAAAATGACATTTAGAAGGTTGCTTAGAAGAGTTAGCGTCCTTATTGCTTATGAAAGATTTATGGACAGCAGCATGGATCAGACTACCTTTCGTTTTGGTTTTCCTGATGTATCCCAGAATCCCTTGTTGTGCCTGAATACCAGCCAAGTGTTTGGCCATTGGTTTTCACAGGACCGCAATAATGGCTACTTTTCTGTGCGCGCAACAGGAAGATTGTAAAAGAAAATATTAAAGGCCTTTTGTCTGAAAATATTTCAAATTTGATTTAAGAGATTTAGAGACCTGTTATTTGTGGAAGGGAAGCTGCCAATACAAATATGAGGTAGATCGGTCAACTTACATACAACTGATTTGACAAGCATCTGTTATAATACTGAAGATTTGTAAACACTAAACAATGTTTTTACCTCCTTAAAAGTTTTGAGAACTTGCCAGTATTGGCAGGAGGCAGAGACTCTGAAACGTGCTTCAAGATACATGCCAAAACCATTGTGGCCTTTTCACCTATAATGTGTTTTTTTCTCTCTCTTTCTTTTAAAATGTATTTTTTTTCTTCCAAAATGCTTTTTTTCCCCCCAGATGGTCACAGAAATTAGATCTTCTTTTCCTTCTAAAAATGTGTATAATTCTTGCTTCATGCCTAGGCCTTTTCTTTGGTAGGAAGTTGAAACCTTAGAATATATGTAAATACTGGAAGCAAATGCAGAATCAATCATTTTTTAAAAGCAGAGGTGATTCATTCTAAGATTTATTGGGATGCTAAAATATAATACATAAACTACATTTCAATTTTTTTCCCCTAAATCAAGTGGCATTAGAACCGTGTGAATTTTGTGGCTGATAAACAGTAACAAGTATAATCGGAGTGATTCCTTAAGCCTGAGAATTTCGTCTTGTTAAAAGTATAAAAGAACAAAACCATTTTATGCCCTTAATTCGGTCTCTATTTGAATAGCTCTTCCCATGTATCCTGTGACAACTTGGAGATATTATGGTATTGTAGCAAATGCTTTTCTTTGTGGGTGTGTAACAGTAAAGCTAATTTATGACCAGTCTTTACCAGATGATCTGTATCAGAATCTACAATATACCCGGCACGTGGCAAGGTCACAATTTAAGTTGTTAAGGTCATAACCTTAGCCACCAGGCATTTGACCTTTTAGATAAAGTTAACCTTTGTTCATTAGTAGGCACTCAACCGAGAACTTTCTGGAGAGTTTTTTTTTTTTTAAACTGCTTCTGTATAACTTCTGGTAATGTAATCAGATTCCAGAAAGATTTTCAGTCAAGTTAGTTAAATTTTGTAAGAGGTTAGAGTTTTTAAGGGCTCATTTTTTGGATAGAGGTAGGTTGCTGTAGTTAGGCCATGGAATGACAGTGTCACAATTTGTATTTGATAGTCATTACCTGCCATGGAGTAGACTGAAAGCTCTGGGGCAGCTGTGTGAAGACGTTTAAACACTAAAATTAAACAAATGAATTTATGTTAAATTCAACTACTTTTTCAAGTGGCATTAGGCCCAAAAGCTAAATCGCAATGAGCCACCTTCACTTTTTGCAGATGAGGAATTTTCTAAGATTGGAAGTATTTTTAGTGGTTTTAAAATTCACTTTGAAAGACTAATAAGTGATCAAAATTTGTCAGGTAATTGCTGTAATTGTTAATTAGCCAGTGACAAAGCGAGCTGCTATTGCCCTAATGGCAGTCTGAACACTTACTAGTTTTAAGGTAGAAAGTGAGCACTTTTGCACAGTAATCTTTTAGTACAATAGTCACTGATTGCTTTCGTGACATCCCACTATGACATTTACTTAATTTTGCTTGGACCAGGAATAGCAAAACTCCCGACACTCACCGAAAGAGCTATTTCAGTGTCTTGGAAGCTTGGTACCTGTCCTGTAAACCTGTACAGCAGTATTACTGATTACCACATTACCTGTACCATATTGTTCACTTAATTATACTGTCGTGGATGCTCATTTTAAATTATTTAGATTACTGCTAGTTTTGCTCTGATATGCTCCATATTATTCTGTTTCAACCAAAAGAGAGCTACTCCCATTCAGGTGCATTTAGGTTTTATTTTGGCTTTGTGACTGCCATTCCTTCATATAGCAATGGAGAAAGCCGTGATATGCAGATAGACCAGATGGTCATGTTGACAGATTGAGAATTCACTTCCTACTGCTTCAGAGCAGGTGTAAGATTAGAAGTGTGCGTGTATGAGTATGAGTGCGCGTGTGCTTCGTGTGCATGTGTGTGCACATCCAGGCTGCACACAGAGTGCTGTTTGAGCAATGGGAATGGTTTCTTTTTTCAAAAGCTACTATTTTAAAATACAGTATAACTGTATCTATAAGGTTATCAGTACATATAGAATAATTATTGTAAAAATTTAAAAATGAATCATGTCAGAATGTTACAGTTTATAATTTTATG